AAAGATCAGAACTGAAATGGGACGGGGCTGAGGCCCCGACGGCTCATCTTGGTCAGATCATGCAGGGCCGTCCCTGTCAGGGGACCACCCCGGGCAGATGTACAGGAACCAGCTGTGGGGGGGGGGGCTCCTCACAGCACTGACCGCCCCCCCCTACACACACACCCCCTGCAGGAGGCTCCCTGTCCTCTCAGGCCCACCTGGCCGTCCTGCAGCGCCACCTGCTGGCCGGGGCCGGCCCGAGTGCCTCCCTGACCTGCAGAGCCTGAAGGTGCTGGGCATGGCTTGGCACCATGTGCAGGGCCTCCTAGGCTGTGCCCTGCACCCGGGGCCACCATGCCCTCCCCAGCACCCAGAGACCCAGGCCAGGCCAGGCCGGGCGGGGCCTCGGATGCACCCCAGGCTGCTGAGCTCTGGACCTGCACGCCGTGCGGCCTCCACGCAGGCACTTGGCAGTGAGTGACCTGGGAGCCCCTGTGGGGCTGGAGGGAATGTCCCGGGAAAGGGCTCTGATGGGGAGGGGACCTGACTGCAGGGGCGTGGGAGACGCGTGACAGCTGTCTCTGTGAGCGCGCAGGTGTGTGCACGTGCCCACTGGCTGAGACCCCGTGCGTTGGTGCCCATCTGCCCCCCCTCCGGCACCTGCCCTGACCCTGGGTCCCTGTCCAAACCTGGCCCTGCTGACCCCTAGCCACAGGCTCAGCTCCACCTGATGCGATGCCAAGGCCCGGGCAGGGGGAGGGGCCACGGCGGCCACCGCCCTTTACCTGCTGGGCAGCCTTTTCCCAGGCCCCCCAAGGCGGCCCCTCACAGGCAAGGCCCACTCGCTGACCTTGAGTGGGGAAGCAAGGACAGTGCTGCCCGAGCAGCCCCTCACGCCAGGACACAGGCTGGGGGGGCGGGTGCTGCCTCGGGCCACAGGCTTGGCCTCCTGCTCCCCCTCCAGCTGAGCAGCCGTGGCCTCTACCATGGACACGACCCTCCCGCCCGCAGGCCCTCTCCAGGCCACAGCAACGTCCGCAGCTCGGCCAGTCAGCTGGGGTGGCCGTGAGAGGGCGCTGTGGCAGTGTCAGTGCTGGGTTAGGGTCAAGGTTGTGCCAGGGCCGGGGCCAGGGCTGGTCCCACCGTCTGGGGCCCTGCCCTCCCAGGTCCCCGAGGACCCATTGTGTGGGACGGCGGCTTCCTGAGCAGCGCCCACTCCCAGCAGGAAAGCCATGAGCCTGCTCTGCCCTCTGAAGGGCTGGGCACCTGAGCCTGACGCCGCAGAGCCCCTCAGCCCCCACCCCTTGCCAGCCTGGCAGGGGCCCAAGCCTCCCCAGGGACCGGCCAACCCTCCAGGCACGTAGGCGCTAACTGGTCAGGAAGCTGGCGGCTACAGGCAGGCACGCCCCACCCAGCACCGGGCTGGGCACCACCCCCATGGGAACCAAGTGGACCCTCAGTGTCCCCCAGGGGCCGGGGCACACGTGCAAGATGGCTGTGTCCTGCTGCAGGGCCAGGCCCTGGCGATGGCCCCTGGCAGGCCAGGGACAGGCCCACATGGTGTGTGGCAGAGCCGAGCAGGCCACAACAGCACCATGTGTGAGGCCCGGGCGCGGGGACAGATCGCAGGCCGGCCGAGGACGCGCACAGGACTGTGGTCTTGCAGGTTGTGGCTTTTATTACTCGGGGAACGGGGTGTCCTTGGGTGCAGGGCACCCGGGTTGGGGCTTGGGGACAGGAAGACGGGTGGGGACCAGCCTGGCCAGAGGGTCAGTGCCTGCTCCTGCCTCCAGGCTGTGCTGAGGTGCCACCAGGGGGCGGGCAGGTGGCCGTGGGGCAGAGTGGCCTGAAGACCTCCTGGGTTAGCCAAGCAGGACCTGTGGGCACGGACCCCTGGAAACTGGTCCCTCTGCGGTCTGAGCAGCCAGAGTGAGTTCCTGAGTTGACCCGCTGGGACCCTGGAGCCTCGGGGGGTGGGGGTCGGGGAGCGCTCCACACCACTCCCCGGGCCAAGTCCCTCAACAGCAGAGTGGGCTGCAGGCCCGGCTGATCCTGACCCCGCCGGCACACGACCCAGCCAGTGACCAGCCGCCACTCTAGATCTGTGGGCCCCTCTCCACGTAGCAGCCCTGGGCCAGACCCGCCTCAGCCTCTGCCCACCCTCGAGCACCAGGGAGCCGAGGGCCTGGAGGGGGTGCAGCCTGCTGGCTGGGCCTCAGGGTGAGGGTGGCTGGTCTTGGGAGCTGGACAGCGGGTGGCGGTGGGGCTGACAGCAGGCCGGCAGGGCTCCAGAGGCGGAGCCATCGGTGGACTTTTGCCTCTCGGAGGCCTCCGTAGTCTTGGTAGCATCGGCCCGGCGGCCTGCTGGGACTGGGGACAGTCAGGAGTGTGGGCCCAGCTGGTGACCTTGGGCGGTCACTCACGCCCCAGTCCTCTTGGCCTCATGGAGACCTGCCAGGAGCCAGGCAGGAGCCCAAGTTACCTCCAGCGCTTGCTCTGACCTTGACCCCGAGACGTTAGAGCAGGCCTCTGCTCAGCAAGGGTCAGGGAGGCCCCAGGCCCCGTCCCTCTCCGAGCCCTGGCGGTGCCCACCCTGCAGCCCACCTAGCAGGGCTGAGATGGGAGTGCCTGTGCCAACCCAAGGAGGATGCTCAGAGCAGCCACTGGAGGGTCGCCCCCAGGCCACTCCGGCCAGCAGCTGGAGGGACCTGGCTTTAGGGCAGATGTGCAGATGGCATGTGAGTGCTGGGGGCCACCGCCTGCCGCCCCCCTGGGCCTGCCTCCCCCCTGGGCCTGGTGGAGCAGGTCACCTGGGGTTGCAGGGTGGACGGAGGAGCACGCAGCCTGCAGGGTGTGGTAGTGGTGGCCTGCACTGGGGGGCTGTCCGCAGCCTGCTGGCACCTGCCAGCCGCTGGCTGCTCACTTGGGGCCTTGCCCCATCGCCACGTTGGTCACCCACCACCAAAGCAGCTGCTCCAGCAGCGCCTGTCAGCCCCGTGTCCTGGGTGCGGGTCCCCTGCTCTAGGACCTGCTCCCGAGTGTTCATCTCACCCTCGGGCAGCTGTCCCTCACCAGGCCCTCCTCCCTCACCTCGACTTCTGCTTCAGCGCACGCCCGCCATGCCGCCCGCCCGAACTCCCCTCTAGCCCCACCTGCCCTCGCAGACACGTGGCCTCCAGTCCCAACCTGCAGCCTTTGCTGCACCCAGCAGGGGCCCAGCCCCCCAGGAGACCGAGTGCTGGGGGAGCAGGGCGGGGGCGGGGCCCGGCCTTCCGGGCCATGGCAGTCGGCTCCCGCCCTCCCATGCCGCGGCCTGGCCGCTGGGCCGTTCAGGGCCTGGGAACTCTCTAGAGCAGGGTGGCCAGGCTCAGGGCCCTGCCTGCCCGCCTCCCCTCCCTCTGGATGCTGAGCCGATGCCAGCTCATATGTGAGCGCCCACCTCTCCTGGGGTGCGGCTCCGGGCGGCCAGGGCCCGGCGGTGGGAGGGAGCCGAGGGCTGAGCACAGGGCTTCCCAGCCTCCACGCACTTGGACGAGCCGCTGGGCCTCCTGGACCTGGGTTTCCTCACGGGAACATGACAGTCACGCCTGCAGAGGGTCTTGGGCCGGGAGACCCGCGTCCGACAGTCACGCAGGCCCCAGTGCAGGCCTGCGCTGCGAGGCCCACGCCGTGCATTAGCCAGGGTCCACACGGACGCTGCGTGCGCGGTCACCCCTCAGTAGCCGTCGTCCTCGTCACCGTCACAGCCATAATCTGCAGAGAAAGACGGCGGCGCTGACACCTGTGCAGCCGGCACCAGGCCCCGCCCCGGGGCTCCGGCAGCAGC